CAATACTTTGCAGGTCTATACCTGCAACTGACTAACACGAAGGAGATATAAAAGAAGATCCAATTTCGTTTTTTATGTAATTTTACAGGGCCAAAATAATGTAATTGTGAAATAGAAGCAAATTTATTCAATTATTTTCTTTTAAAACGCAGCAGAAATTCTGTTTACATTTACCCCGAGTTTTCGAATTCTCGGGGTAAATGTAAACACTTAATTATCTATTAACTGAATTGACGAAATTAAAAAATCAAAGTCAGCTTTTGTTAAGGGATTCATAAGGAATAATTAGAAATTTTAGTTTGAATTTTTAGTTCATTTTTATTCAAATTCGAGACAAAATACTGAAACAGTAAAACTTTGATTTTCAATCTTGCATGCATTAAGCGACAAATTGGAGTATGGCTTTGACAATTGTCGAAAAAAAAATTGTCAATACTCAGAACCTGTTGCAGGTGAGCTGAGGTTAAAATATTGGGGTCGAACTTAATTTTAAATCTGTAAATTAAGCTGCAATATCTGCTGATTACATTTACCCCTTGTTTATAAAGAATAAGAAATATATATATTTACCTGAATTTTAAACCACGGCTATAAATCACACGTGGAATCGCCCATATATATTTTGTTATGAATAACGATTTCATGTTTATCGCGTTTTGAGAATTTCTTATTGGGAACCGCAGAGTTTGCGCAGCGTTGAATATTTAACAAGGAAGCTATTTATTTCGGTTATTGGCAGGTTTCAATGTTCAAGATATCGCGAGCTTAAACATTGGAAACATTACTTATTAGTTTGTATTAGTAAATGGGTCAGAATTTCCCAAACGGATCACCTATAATTGAAAAATTTTATTTAAACCTGAAATGATGTTTTTTTGAATATTTATAAGGTAAAAAACAATGTCATAAAATTTCAGACCAAAAAAAAATTTTTTGTAAAAGTTATTAACAATTAAAGTTTTTGGTAGTGTTAAATTAAATAATTTTTTTCTCGAGTTCTAATTGACCAATTTAAAAATTAAAAAATGGGTTTTTTTCGTCATGAAATGTAGTATTCAAAAATAATTTTTGTTTAAAAAATTTTTCATTTTTAATAGTTTTTTATATTATTTGTTTATAAAATGTTAATAACAAATAGTGTTCTCCATGTCCTAACAAAAAAAGAAAAATTGTGTTGCATTCCTCAAACATCTCCGAGCCTAAAACCGTTTAGAAAAAAAATGAGACTCAATTAGGGAAAAAGTTATTAATTAAAAACGATGAAGGTGCGAAGCGATACGTGACGTTACTCTGGTCGCGCAAGCGCACAGCACTGTTGGCACTACCCGGAAACTATATACAGTTTCAATTGTTATTATATTCACATAATACTTTTGTTATATTATATTTTATATTATATATATATAACAATTATAATAAATTTACATATTTATATAAATTTTTTATATATGTTCATTTATTTATTCAACATTTAAAGAATAAAATATGCCAATAACTTAGCTAAAATATAATGTTAATTAATTTTTTAAACATTAACGGTTCGTAATGAAGTTACATAACTGCATAATTATGCAGTTATATTTTACATTCAATATATGTTTCTGCGGCAGAAAATAGTCGACATAAAACTGTACCCGCGTCTGTAAATTCAAACGAATGTTTTCGTGTATCTTTAATTGCAATCGCATTCTTATGTCTTGTTTTTAAAGACCTGGACTCAGACTTATATTCAGCTGTTGTTCCAAAATCAAAATCAATATTGTCAAAGAATGCTTTTGCCCATTCAAAGAAACTTGTCGGCGTTGTTATTTGATTTTCCAAATGACGTTGGAGGCTGGCTTTTCTTCCTCGGCTTTTAATTGTTCCGCCTATACCGTCACAAGGACCTTTCCCATGTGAAGTGGCAAAAAAATTCAATTCCACACTGATATCAAATGCTTTTTTATAATTAGCAATATTTGAAAAATTAAACTTATTTTTATACTGTGAGCCAGCCCCGTCTGAGAAAAATATTAGTTTTTTTACATTATTCTCCCCGTGAATATTTTTCAAATACGACATCATTTTTTTGTTAAACAAACTAACGGCAATCGAATCATGCTTGTTACACTCAGACACAATTGCGAAATTGTGATGTTTCAATTGATTATTATGTCGGTAATATATAACGTAGGGGTGGATTATGACTTGATCGTTGTTCCAATGATGAGATTGGATGGCATCTTGAATGAAAAAACTATAATTTTCAGCAAAATCGAGAGTTGCGATGAAATCTCCATGACCTATTGACTCCTTTAAATTTTGCAAATGATCTGCTTGAGATGTGGCAATAAAATCATGCTTCAAAAGGAACAACAAATCATCATCTAGTGTCTCAAGGAAGTCCTCAACCGATACAGTTTCAATGCATAATTCAGCCCTAGAAATTCGTGATAATATTAAATCAATTTTCAAAAGTACTCTTTGTTGCACTGATAACATAAAATAAAATTAAAATTATAAAAATAATAATAATAATAGTAATAAAATATTGAAATAGAATTAATAAAATAAATTAATAAATGAAATAATAAATGAAATATAATAAATGATAGTATAAATTTTGGTTGAATGATAATTTTTGTTTTTCAATCACATTCTTAACGTGTTGTAGCATTTAAAATAGATATCTTACCAGTCAGTAGTCTTCCACTGTGTAAAACTTATTTCTTCAATATTTGACTTTTGACAAGCTGTACGAATCGAATGAAGAATGGGATTAGTTCCGGGACACTTGGGACACTCCAAAAAATAACAATCTGGTGTCTGGTTTTCACATACCATTTTTTCTAAAATGTCAAGCATTTTAAAATTGCAAGGTGGTGTCGCATTTTTCAAAGCACCATTTATCCCATTTAATTTAAGTCTCATATTCTGATGCGTTTTGCATACACAGACACTATGGCTTCCACTGCGTCCCATAGGAATACAATTACGTGGGCGTAATTTAGTAAAAAAGGATCGGCTCATCTTAATGTTCGGATTATTTGATTTGAATTTTTCGTGAATTACTTTAATATCAAATAGTAATAATCTTTTTTGCACATATTCTTTTTTACCGTCCTTAACAACAGGGACACAATCTTTCCTACCAGGCATAGCTCGACTGCATTCGTCTGATTCGTAAAATTGTACGACTTTTTCAATTATATCGGGAGATAATGGACGACCACGTTTTGGCTGAGGATAAGATCCGTAACCAGATGACTGTCTTAATTTTTTAGCCTTTGAACCCATTCTTCGAGAAACATTCAATTCTCTTTGCATTCTTCTAATGCTCCAGTCGGTTGGTAAGGTCGTCAACAGCATGATTTGTCTTGTCTGGAAACGGCTTTTGATAAAGCAAATTGAATGTCCTTAATTTGTTTAGACTCTACGTCTGATTTTTCTTGACTCACATGAGAAAATTGTAATCCCCTTCTTTTGCATTTCACTGGATTTCCCTCTTCATTTTGCCAAACATTACTGGATGTTCTCTTCAATTCTTTATTTGCCGGTTTATACGAAGGATCACACAATTCATCTTCAGGACTCGAACTATCGTCAGAACTAATTTCAACTTCTTTCGACGCAGGAACGTCAGGTGCTGGTTGCACTGGTTCCGAAGAGTTGTTTTTCAGAATTGTTAGTCGACATGAATCACATACGAATTGTCCAATTAAATTAGAAAACTGTACACTCCAATGTTCGGTTACTAGTTTAATATTTTTGATTATGCAAGAATGTTTTTTTTTCTAAGTGGATTACAACACTTATTTGCACGAACCATTTTTATGAAATCAACGATAAAATTTCTTCCAAAATTTTAAATAACTTGCATGATATCGCGATTCACTTTAAATTTTACCGAATTTATAAGTGATTAATATTATGAAAGACACTATACGCTGCACTGTAACTTTGAATTATTTCAACATTCACTTGTTTTTCATGTATAGATTATTTTTTATAAAATCCCGTTAAAATATTTTCGAAAATTTTATTGAATTTCGCGATTCACTTTAAATCGTTTTACATTTATTGTAAGAGCCGTACGCGAAAGTATTAAACCGACTTATTCTCCACATTCATTTGTTTTCCTCTAAAAACAAAAGAACATCTAACTCAATCCCAGTCATGAAAACCCAAAACCGAAAGTATTTATATTAAAAAATATGTTGAAGGTACAGTTTTTACATATTTTTTATGTTATTTTCACATACTTACATATTTTTATCAATTTTTATATACTAAATATTTTATATGTTGTTAATTCACACAATTTCTAAATGTGTGAGTGTGTTAAATAACGTATTGTTTAATGCGAATTATGATTTTCTTTAGATAGTTAAGAATAACAATAAAATAAATTATTTATTTAAATAAATTAAAAATTCCTTTCTTTGTTGTGATTTTTAATCACACATAAAAATTAAAACCTTTAAAAACGTTTAATATATCACTAGTGCGCACAGGTGCATAAGGGCAGGCTTGCGCAACCAGAGTAACGTCACGTATCGCTTCGCACCCCCATCGTTTTTAATTAATAACTTTTTCCCTAATTGAGTCTCATTTTTTTTCTAAACGGTTTTAGGCTCGGAGATGTTTGAGGAATGCAACACAATTTTTCTTTTTTTGTTAGGACATGGAGAACACTATTTGTTATTAACATTTTATAAACAAATAATATAAAAAACTATTAAAAATGAAAAATTTTTTAAACAAAAATTATTTTTGAATACTACATTTCATGACGAAAAAAACCCATTTTTTAATTTTTAAATTGGTCAATTAGAACTCGAGAAAAAAATTATTTAATTTAACACTACCAAAAACTTTAATTGTTAATAACTTTTACAAAAAATTTTTTTTTGGTCTGAAAATTTATGACATTGTTTTTTACCTTATAAATAGTCAAAAAAATATCATTTCAGGTTTAAATAAAATTTTTCAATTATAGGTGATCCGTTTGGGAAATTCTGACCCAAATCTGAATTCTGGGAGAAGTAAAGTAGGAAAATGCTTCCGATTGGTCAATTTTAGTAGGAATTAGGAATTTAGTGTCCTAAATTCAAATCAGTTACTGCAACTCGTTTTTCCGCCATGGGACCAATCATCGATGCACATCATAACTGTAAGTCATTTTTAATAATTATTTATAATAATGTTTCACCATTTTTCTATTGTTAACAACTAATCAATAAAGTCAAGTTACAGTCCATAAAGGTAATCAGGATATTGTACTGAAATGGAACTCAAGTCCAGTCCAATTCAGTACCATTCTAGTACCACTCTTTCGGCGGGGAAGTCACTTGCACTTAGTCAATAATATCAATAAGATACGATATCGATTTAATTAAATTCACAAAGTATTTTAATTGCTAAAAATAATGCACAAACATAGAAATCTCCAAATTCATTATTCTATGAAATCATAATCTACACTGAGAGAAGTTTAACTCAACATCTGAATTTTTTGAGCGACAGATATTTTACCTCAATTACGTGCTGACGCAGTACTACAATCGAATAGTAGCAACGTCACTCCAGTACGGATTCTGACGTAACTTGTAGAACAAACGATTTAGTACAGTATCTGTACACCAAAAATTGCTAGTACCGATGTTGCTCGAAAGGTTAGGTACACTATCTGAACTTGTGTAGTGGAGAATCTATGTTAAATTTTTCTCAGTGTATATGTCTGTATTATTAACATTTCAGTAATGTAATACATTTTTAAATCTGGAGTAAAAACATAAAATTTTACAATTAATCATAATTACCCTATTTTCAAAATTGTCCGCAGATATTTTGTTCCTTTGCATGATATTAATACTTGATGTGGATTTATTCATTCTCCATGCACTTGTTCTTGGTTTACTGATATTATCATCATGTAAAAAAATTTTATATCCTTTCTGCAAAAAGAATTATAGCATAAAACACGGTTAAAAGTTCATCTACACTAGTATTGTTGTGCTCTGTTTCGTTTAAATTTGTTAGTGTATTATCTTAAATTATTCTATATATATATATATATATATATATATGTAATACCCAAGTAGCACGATATATCAACCAGATGTCACGGTGATATCACCGGGGAATGTCACCGTGACATCAGGAAAATGTCAAAATGTCCGCCTTACGCTGATATCAAACGGTGACATCGAGGTGATATCATGGTGACATCACAGTGATATCACAGTCATATCACGGTGATATCATGGTGATATCACCGTGATATCATGTTGATATTTTACAGGGATTTAAAATTTTTAAAAAATTATTATTTTTTAATATTTTTTAAATTATTAAAAATTTTAAATCCCTGTAAAATATCAACATGATATCACGGTTACATCACGGTGATATCACCATGATATCACCGTGATATGACTGTGATATGACTGTGATATCACCTTGATGTCACCATGATATCACCTCGATGTCGCCGTGTGATATCACCGTAAGGCGGACATTTTGACATTTTCCTGATGTCACGGTGACATACCCCGGTGATATCACCGTGACATCTGGTTGATATATCGTGCTACTTGGGTATATATAATATATATATATATGGGATGTTCCACGTCAAGCGGACCAAAGCTCTGCCCAAAATTGCACGCAATATAAATAAACTTATAATATATAAAAATGTTCGTACACATGTAAACTTTCAAAAAATGAGTGGCAAATTAAAAAATTTATAATAATGCTTTTGTTATAACAAATATAAACAATCATAAATGGAAATGCGTAAGTTAAAAAATGTCTCATTTAAAGACAAAAATTTTAAATTCTAAAGTCATAGTTGTTTTTAATGTTTTCGGGGTCGCTGATTACGAATCTGATGACAGAATTAAAAAAATTCAAAATGGCGGATCCAATATGGCGGCCGAATTTTTAAAAAATCGTCCAATTCGCTTAAAACTTATTACTCGGGGGTTTTCGGGGTCGCTGATTACAAATCTGATGTCAGAATTGAAAAATTCAAAATGGCGAATCCAATATGGCGGCCGAATTAAAAAAAAATCGTCCAAATCGCTTAAAACTTATTATTCGGGGGTTTTCGGGGTCGCTGATTACGAATCTGATGTCAGAAATAAGAAATTGATTATGTTGAAACTTAAACAAAGAGGGGGTCCTTTATGTTTATTTCATAAATATTTTGCTTCCTTCTTGTGTAAAGCAAAAAATTTGCTTCCTCGTGGAGGAAGCTATAAATTTCTCTAATTCGATTGATTAAATTAAAATATTTCGAGTTAAAAATTGATTTAAATTAATAAAAATTTTTGGAAAAGTAAGAAAATTTCAATTCATTTTGGGTGTAACATATACTTTATATTATATATACGAATCGATTCGTTTCAATGCAAGGAATTAAATTATTTTATTTATTAACTTGAAATTAAAAAAACACAAAATTTTTTAGCTAAAATGTGAAATTTTGATTTTTTAACTTTCATTAATTCTTTAAATTTTAATCGAATCTATACTTTGTATATACCAATGGATTCGTCTTGACGTAAGAAAGACGATTATATTATATATTACCTTAAATTTTTCAATTAAAAAAAATGTTTACCATTTTTAAAAATTTTATAAACGAAAAGACTGCAAAGCTTCCTCCACGAGGAAGCAAAAACATTTGAATGATAAGTACTTTTATATTTGATTAAAATAATTTTTTTTGTGTATAATTTTCATTTGCCCGAATTATTATTATTCTATAATGTAGAAAAACTGTTTAATGAAAATTGTTTCTAATAATAATTTGGAGTTATAAAAATTGCTCTAAAAGAAAATTATTTCACAAGAAACTCTTGGAAATGAAAATTCTAACATATAATTTTAAGAACCCGTTTTGTTTGTGAAAATTGTGATTTTTATTTATCACTTAATTTTTTAATTATTTTGAATTAATTTCTATTTAATAATTTAACATAATTTTGCTTTTTATTATTTGTAAAGATTTCGTCAAATTTAAATATTCGCGCTCTTAATATATAACTCTTATTTTGTCCGCGAGGTGGCGAAATCGTACATAAGGTCGATTCCTTCATTAAAGAGCCGCGTTTTCTATATTTTCCGCATGGTGGCGCAATCGTAAATGAGGTAATTTCTCTCATCAACGAGATGCGTTGTGAAACGTATAAATACGAGAGACTTTCGATACAGAAATATTACGAATTTTTCGTGTACTTTTGCAGGTAGGTATTCTTGTGCATTTCAAACATAAAAAAATCAGTTCTTTTCAGAGCTATTCCTTTCCATTTTTCCTTTCCATTATTCCTTCTATTTTTCGTTTTTTTCTCAGTCATATCTTTTTAAATTTTTTTAAAACTTTTCATTTTCATCTCTACATTTCTTTCTCCAGTCATTTTTTCAAATCATTGTTTTATTCTTCTCTTTCTGTTCTTCATTCTTCTGATACTTTCTTTCCTATTTTTAGTTCTTTTTTTGTTTATTTTCAGTGACTTTCTTCTGTCATTTTTATTTTAATTGTCAAAAGGTAAGTTTTTTCAATTTTGCATTGAAAGTTCTTAATTTCTTTTCGAAATTGTTTAATTTCAAAATTATCATTTCCATCATGTCAGGCGGTGAAAAGAAAACTTCTAACTATCCGCTTCATGCAGATAGATGCATTAACCCCTTAAACCGTGAAAATCACAAAGGTTCAGATTTAAGGATAATGTCAAAGACATTATTAAAACAATTTCCTCAAGTACCAGAAAATGCAAGAATTTGCTCGCAATGTCGTAAATTATGTAATAAAAGTGTTGTCACTAGTGATTTTGATAATTCATTGACAGAAGAGCCAGAGAGTAAACGGAAATGTTTGTCAAGAGAAGAACAATTAGAGCAACTTTTAACGGGGCTAAAGGATAAATTTTCTTCTTTACCAATGAACGATCCTCTACGCATGTCTATACTGACAATTTCTCCTGAATGCTGGACTGTACGACAAATTGCGTCAGAGTTTGGTACTTCAGAGAGACAAGCAAGGAAAGCCAAACATTTGAGAAAGAATGGTGGAGTTTTGGCAACACCTGAATCAAAACTTGGTAAAACACTACCTGAGGAAACAATTGATAAAGTTAAAGATTATTACGAGTGTGATCAGAATAGTCGTATTATGCCAGGTAAAAAAGATACTGTTTCCGCTAGAGTGAATGGAAAAAAAATGATACTACAAAAAAGACTTTTGCTTGTAGACATTAAAGTGTTGCATAATCAATTTAAGGAGCAGTATCCTGAATTTCCAATTGGCTTGTCGAAATTCGCTGAATTGCGACCCAAAAATTGTGTCTGCGCAGGATCAGCAGGTACACAAAGCGTCTGTGTGTGTGTGATTCATCAAAATTTCAAGTTGATGATTGAATCCATAAATTTTGAAAAATTGATACCTGATTCAGAGAATAGGATAAAAGATTATAAAGACTGCTTTAAATTTGCTTTATGTGAAAATCCTGGACCATCCTGTTTCCTTTTGGAGTGCACCTTATGCCCTGGCGTGGAAAACTTTTCAAATATGATTTTAAACCTTTTGGAAGAAAATGAAATATCTGAAATCATTTGTAGTTGTTGGCAATCAACTGATAGATGCACTCTGACGAAAAAATATTATATTTCAAAGGACTTTGTAACCGAATTATCTAGTCAATTAACAAAACTATTGCCACACCATTACATTGCAAAAAATCAATCGGAATATTATCAAGAGAGGAAAAGAAACCTCCAAGAAGGCGAAGTGTTACTACAGTGTGATTTTTCTGAAAACTACGCCTATGTTGTACAAGATGCTGTACAAGGTTTTCATTATAATAATGACCAATGCACAGTGCATCCTGCAATTTTTTATTATAAAGAAAATGGTGAATTAAAGCATTGCAGCATTGTCTTGCTATCCGAATCTACTACGCATGATACTGCTGCAGTCTACATACTGCAACAAAAAGTTATTGCAGACATTAAAAAAGTTTGCACAAATGTTAAAAAAATAATAATTTTTACTGATGGTGCTAAACAGCATTATAAAAACAAATTTCAAATGATGAATTTAGTTCATCACGAAGATGATTTTAATGTTCTGGCAGAGTGGCATTTTCATGCTACCGCTCATGGAAA